GAAATTAAAGAGTAATCATCTCACTTTTGTCACCTTGACACCACTCAGTAACTTCCACTTTTTCTTATGAGCAATAATCTTTCCAATATACCACCAAGTTCCTTACCATGTTTGTCATGTCTGTCAGGGAGACTAGAAAGTACTGAGCATTAGCATTCCTTGGATAAATTTGTAAGTCCTTCTACCCAGGGTTCTCCCAAGCCTTTCTTTTTATCATGACTATTTTACCCTTTTAAAACAAAGATAAAAACTACCCTCACTGAGCTTTGCCTAATTGTAAAGAGAGAATTGCAAACTGTTGGTATAAAATTATTCTATTTTTTAAATTTAAACACAAAATGCCTTTTTTTTTTAAATTTTGTTTCAACCTTAACCCATCTGTTTAGGTACTATTTAGTCGCTTCCTTTAACGTTCAGTGGTTCATCATTTAAAAAGTTATCCTACTAATTCATAAGTTCATGAAAGCCCCTAAGATCTGTATTGTTCAGTCATTCTATGAATAGTACATTAATAAATTTATTGATTCAAGTTTAGCACTTAGCTAAAAGACATTTTATAGTGCTGACAATATTTCAATAGGTCAATAAAATAAAGAAATACAGGGTAAGTCAGTCAATAACTTCAGTAATATCAATTTGTTTGCATGCCAAAGCTTCAAATCAATCAAACATGCATGTAAATAGCTCTATTAAATTTAATCTGGATTGAGAAGATACTTAAGCATATAATGAAAATTGAAGCTCTTCTTTAATTATCTGCATAAAGTGAGTCACCATCAGCATAAAAAATACAGTTAATGGTCTTTTTGTAACAATCAACTGTTTAACCAATGGCAATAATACTAAATTTTTTTTAAGATTTAAGGTCCTGATACAGCCAAGTACCTAACTCCTTGTCTAACTTCAAGCAGAAGCATAGCCTGGTTTAAGAAAATACAGTAAGCTATGTAGTGTTAAAAAAAAATGAATGCTAAAAAACCCACTGAAATATACCTCATATAGTGAAGGAATACATGTTCTTTCCTATAATTATGTATCTTGTCAATATTCCTATAATTATGTATCTTGTCAATATGTGAAATTTAGAAGACAAACATTTAACCACTACCCAAACGTAGACTTCAATCCCTCAGGTATATCTATTAATTCAAACCTGCACCACTGGAAACCTAGCAGAGAACTTTTTAACAAGCATTTATGTGGGGAGAGGGCAGGAAAGGTGGAAGAGAGGAAGAAAAAGTAAGATAAAGAAAGAACACAGGTCTACACCCTTTATTCCGTTATCTGATGGTAGCCTGACTAGATTTTGATTTAGTACAATCTTCATTCACATTTGTGAAGTGCAGTTTCCTGTTTACACTGATTGTGTAAATCTGGAGTGGCTACTTATTTCTACCCTGACAGCTATTAACTAGTTCTTGTAGTTAGATGGACTTCATGATACCTTGCTTTGCATACACACTGTAACAATTGCAGGATCAGAAAGAAAAATCCTGAGCAAAAAGGTCTGTTGAGCTATAGATTAATCCAGGATTTCAGTGCCTAAGAAGTGGGGAAACTAGTTGCATGAATCACCTGAATCTCTAATGTGTATGTGCTCACAAAAAATTTACAAAATATTTTGAAGATGGGAAATTGGCTTTCTAATTCCAACTTATTGAAATTTTAAGTGCATACATATAATTAAATATTTATTGGATTGAAAACAGTCTGATGTAAAGAGAATTACCCTAGCTTTGTAGTAGAAGGAGAGACCTGAGTTACACCTCCTTTTCCAAGGAATGCTTACGGTTTTCATATTAAAGAACTTCATATTAAGGTATTATTGAAGTAAAGGAATAGAGTGCAATTCTTATTATTCTTTTCTTACCAGAAGGCAATACAGTCATACTTATTATTTTTCTAATTCAATGAATATTTAATTATTTCATGCAAAGCTGAAGACTTCAGCAAGAATATGGCCACCCTTATTGTATTCCATATCCATAAGTACTTGACTATTCTACTCAGCTGTGGCACTGAAGGAAAAGATATCCATAGAGATGCCCACAAAAGATGTGAGTGGTGCTTCACTCTTTTATTTTTGGAAAAATATTTTACCAACTGGATTTTAGTAGAAAAGCATGAATTTAATCGATGTAACTCCCATGGAGAAAAGTGCTTCTTTCCAAAAGGGTGTGCTATTTTGTGGGAAATATGTAAATACAATACATAGATAAAACAGAAAATATGCTCTAGTCTTCAATTTCAATTGGTGGCTTCTTGTTAACCAAATATTTTGTGATTCCATTCAAACTCTTTCTTTGCCTTTTTATTAATTTCTCTGGATAAGATGGAAAGGATATAGTTTCCTCAAAGCACTACAAGATCCAAGCTCTGCATAGAGTCTGTGTAACTTTACTTTTGCCATTCTGTCCTCTTCCTTATAGCACAAAAGACGTTTCTTTCAATAATAATAATATCAAATATTTACTGTCCTCATAAGCTCCACATTCAATTTCTCAGTAGTTGAGCTTACACTGCAGATGTAAGGTACTCTATAATGTACCTCAAGCCCCTGCCTTCCAGGTGCACATAGCGAGTTTCTTAACTGGATGTGCCCCTGCTTGTCCTGGTTATTGTGGAAGGATATCTAGATTCAGAGAAGAGACCTGATCCTGACTTGTCTCTGTAATAACCTCTAGGATCTACTAATAAAGCTACTTAAATAAAAAGGCACAAAGAAATGGCAAGAAAGAAGAAAAGAGATGAGTTGAGGAAGTGCAACTGTTAATAGTTATGGAACTGATAAGAATTGTCAGAAGTGCAGCAGCTTACTGGAATAGATTCATAAGAAAAATTACATCTGTTAATGTGGATTACCAGTGCCACTCAGAAAGGCAATGAACAGACAGGATCTCTTTCACCTGCATATTTTCAAGAAGAGATTTACCATTATACTACTGAGGAGAAAAAAAAAAAAAGTGAGTTAGTTATAAGACTACAGTACATGAAAAATATGCCACATGTTACACTAAAGGTGCTTAAAGATAATCATGTTCATGTCACTGTTTCAATGACCTAAAATGGAGGAAAACCACTACACTACACAGTCTCCATGACAAAAGCAAAGCTGAACAAAGTATGTGATGCTTCAGAAACCACAAAGCAGTGTACATCAGCCAGAAGGCGACATATAACGTTTGATATAATGGATTGGATTGTGAGTACAGTGAATGTCTTCCTAGAAATGGAGACATGTGGGTGACTAGCCTTTAAGATATTTGTGCTGAACCATAATACATCATGAAGTCTTCTAATTTTTCTCAGTGTTAACTGATGGATTACTAAAACAGAAATTTCCTTGTGTGATGATCACCGTTTCATGAGGATAAAAGCTATGGTCTTATTGTTCTCATAAAATTGTGTCTACATTTAAAACAGCACAATTGTTCCATTCTACATATGAAAATATGGATCCAGGATTAAGTTCCAAGTGACATGTCAACAGCATCACTTTCAAATCTCTCTAATTTAGAAAGGGAAATAAAAAAGTTGGAGCACCTTGGTGAGCACATCTAATCAAGCTTAATTTGATTTTTTTTTTTTTCTATTCTGGATAACTACCAATGTCCTATATTTGGTATAAACAGCACTACTGAATTGGACCATAGCAAACATTAAATGGCTTTAAGTCAGAGAAATCATACATTTATTACAACTTTTTCACATTTTTTATTTATGGAAATTGGAAAACTTATAATCATTTGGGATGTTAGGTTAGTTGTATTCAGTTTTCTTGCTGCTGAAAGGATATAGTGTGATATGAAACATCTCCTAAAGCTTTTATTCAGTATACAGACTAAATGAAGTGCAATTTCGTGATAATTACCTTTAATAATACAAGCTACATAAATTTTCCATATCAGTACACCATACTTCAGTATCTGAAGCTTTGATGACAAATTAGATCTACTTTTAATATGTTTTAGTCTGTAAGATCAAAAGAGGACTTTCTGGTATATCTGAAAGTTCAGGCTTCTATGCTTACTTATGTATGAGCATCTTCAAGACTGATTGCAGCAGAGGAAAAAAATCAGATATAATGACAGTATAACTAGTGACCTAAATTTTATCTTTGCAGCAAGATATGCCCTAACTGATTATTCCTGAACTAAATCATAGCTAATATCTGTCTTCCATGCCACAAAAATGTTAACACTTAACACTGCTTTGATGTTCTTACATGAGTAAGAGTTCATTAAATATTTACTTAAATTGTTTTCCTCTGCATTTTAAATTTTTGTGGATGTTACATTTCCTGGATCCCAATCTATCTTCTGATAAAAGTAAAAGGTCTTCAAACTTATCTTTCTATACAGTTTAGAAATTGTTCACCACAGAACAGCTCCTGCTTACGACAGAAGCATTTTTAATGACATGTTGGTAAAAAATTATGGATGTTAAAAGACCGGAAAACTAGGAGACTTCACAAACGCCACTACCATAAGAGACCTAACTAGCGGCTCAGAAGAAAGAAATGGGATTCAGTGCTCAACAGTTTAGCTTTCTGGGTTCACTCTCCACTCCCACAGGTACAGGGGCTGAAAGTTGGTTTTGTCCTCTTCTTTTGCTTACATCAGACTGATCCCCATTTACCTTTGGAGAAGTAACAACAAGTTACAGCCTAGGAACTTGTTTAAAATACGGATCATATTCTCATTTCTAGCTGTTAATTATGTATATTAAAACTTATCTAGTAAACTTTCTCAGTACTGCTAGCAAAAAACAGAGGACTTGTGCTTTATTTTACATCCACTCATTTATTAGATTGTCTGATTCTTAGACATGATCGTCTTTCTGGGGACATTTAAACATTTGACATTTAAAACATCAATTTAATTTCAAACGTTACCTATATTAAATTTAATTCAAGATAAGACAATTCTCCTAACTATATTCTAGTGTTTTTATGAGCATCAGTAAAAGGTAAAAGTATCTAAGGTGAAGTTGCAATTTACCTCCATCTCATGTAAACCTGTTGGATGCTTGATCTGCAATAATTTCTAGTGGAAAAAAGACCAATCGAACAGTTAGCTGACATTAAAGGAAAAGCAGATAATTCAAGTTACAATTTATGAGATGTGACCTAGAAGCCACGTAAGCAATAAACTTAGATCCATTAAGGCAACTTTTTTTCCATAACTGATATTCATAAAATAAGAATTTTGGCTAGTATTTTAAACACACCTAAAGACATAGGGACCCAGATCACAGTGAAATACTTCATCTCGAATATAATGAGATTTAAATCCCTCAGGCTGTTTTGGAGAGCTTAATCTTGACGTTTTATCTTAAACTAGAGTAATTGAATATATAATACATGTTGCCTGAAGACATGATAGTGCTCACTCTAGTGAATAAAGGTCTTCAGCCTAAAAAAAAAGTACATGGATTATTTAAGAACCAGGGGATTGTTATCTTTCCTTACTGTATGTTAGAAATATGCATTAAACTTCAACTGGTTCTGTGCTTCAAGTATAAAATTTTAAGAGGTTTATACAAATATTGACAAAGTCCTTCACATAAAACTGAAATGCTACAACTTTTCGGGGGGGGAAAGGTGGATTCTGATTAGAAAAAAAAAACCTGTTTGCTTGTACTGCAAACCATGCCACTTATCATACACAGATGGAGATTCATCATTTTCAAACAAAAATAAAATATAGCCTGTATCCAGACTGACTGAACTCTTGAGAGGGAATCCTTTAACCAAGAGTTTAATTTTATTAAAAGCATTTCTTTATCTCCTGAATTATATTTTACTTTTGTGATCAAAAAGAAATTTCAAATTTCTTGGGCAAAACTAACTACCAAAAATGAAAAGCAAAACTTCTAGCAGTTTATTTAGCAATTTAGTCCCTACAATTCAGTTTCGCAAGAACCATTCATTTTTGTAATGCCCCTCAGCCCCAACTCAAGTCTTTTTGCTTTTACACTTGTATAAAATCTACAAGACATTTAGGAAAATGTTTATACTTTGGTTTGAATCACAGGCAGGTGCAGGACTGTTCAAGGACACAAGGAAATTAGCACGCAGAAATGCACAGTATGATCTGGGCAAAATAAGACTCAGAGAACACTTATGTTGTCAGTAATAGCTTGGCCTATTAACACAAAAACTTTTTTGTCCTGTTAATTCTATACCAAGTTGTTTGTCTTTTGTGCTATTTTCTAATCTAGGCAATCATGTTAAAAATTATTAACCATTAATAAGTCTGCTAGGTTGCTTTGTCACTATCTGTCTCCTCCTAGAGTGGTGTGTCATAATATATACCTTGGGGATTGATTCTCTTCTATAGAATCATAGAATCATAGAATGATTTGGTTTGGAAGGGACCTTAAAGACAATCTAGTTCCAATTCCCCTGCCATGAACGGGGACACCTTCCACTAGACCAGGTTGCTAAGGGCCCCACCCAACCTGACCTAGAACACTTCTAGGAAACGGGCATCCACAACTTTTCTGAGCAACTTGTTCTAGTGTCTTGCCACCCTCAGAGTAAAGTTCTTCCTAATATCTAATCCAAATCCTCTCACAGTAAAGTTCTTCCTAATATCTAATGCAAACTCTCTCACAGTAAAGTTCTTCCTAATATCTAATCCAAACCCTCTTCCAGTTTAAATCCATTCCCCCTTGTCCTGTCACTTATAGGACACTTATATGGCTTTTGACAAAATCCCACACTGACAACACCAGCTTTGTGGATAATGAACTCCAAGCTGGCTTTTCAGTCTGATTGTGAAATACAGTAATCCCAGTGTTATTTCTGGTGGGTTTCTTGTTTGCTTGTTTGTTTTTTTGTTTTGCTAAATTGATGTATCTGCAATAGTGTTTCATTAGAATTTACAGTATGCTTTTGAAATGAACCCCATTAATAATACCTACTGTGTTTTAAACCATTTTATAGAAAGGTCTAGGTCCATACAATCTGTTGAATTTATTATTCTTTCATCCTTCTGGATGAAACTAAACAATACAACAAGGTTTAGGAGATACCCTAATGTAAGCCACCTGTTAGTGGGTGTTAATCCCATGGTACCAGACTGGAGATAGAAAAAAGAAGAAAAAAAAAAACCCAACATGTAGATTAATGTAAAAATGGTGAGTCCTCAGCACTGCCTGGGTTTCTCTAAAAACATTTTGTGTCATACTCCCTAGTTACTGCTTCACTTAGATCTATTGATTCCATAGATGAGTTATCACACTGAATAATGTTCACATTGCATACTTAAGAAAGGGAAGGAAAGAAAAAATGTAACCTAGAAAAATTGATAAGTTCACAACTACAAAAAATCAGAATCATTGTTGCAAAGGAAAAGCATCAATACAAAGAAGCAATTAAGGCAGATGTAAAACTAATCTGTGATGCACAGTTTATAAACGTATCTTAACAGAAGAAAATACCTTCATGTAACAGTATTCTCTGTTTTTCATCAGTATAGAGAAAATTCTTGTTTGGAAGTAAAGATAATTCTCTAGATCAAAATCTCCTAACATTGCTTCAATTTTTTTTTCCATTTTTCTGCCTACTTAAAGACCAGGGAACTTTCTTGGCAAATTACTCTTATTTTAATTTTTTGTTTTGAAACAACATTTTTAGCAAGTTGGGTTGTGACAATAGAAATATTACAGAACAGCAGCAAATCTTGAAGAGTTTGATCATAGCAAAGACTGGTCTTGAATACTGCATTTACCAGTATGGAACCTGGATGAGAAGGACAGAAAGATATGTGATCAAATCAATCAGTATGCACATGCATGTGCATGGTAGTAGTTCTGTCATATTTAATGATGAACGTACAGACTGCCCAAGGATTTCTAAGAATAGTGCTTTCTCTCTTCAGCTTTGCTGTTGCTACTGTGTTGAGGTCTGTGATTCTTAGAAAGAATGCATGAACACTGAAACACCATGGAAAATGATAAAAAACCCACAAGAAGGCATTTGACAGAGTGAAGAGAACTGTTAACCAAGACTGCACTACAGAAAAGCTGCTATAATAAGAATGGGAGAACGCTTCAGCAGAGTACTGAAGCACAGCTAGAAGCCCATGCTGCTTAGACCCTTGATATCTAAAGAGGAGAAAACACTCAGCTGTTAGAGGAGCTTCTGCCTGTGGATTTTTTTGAAATGGAACTATTCCACAATTAAAGGAGGTGGATAAGCACTTTGATAATGAGCTATTAGAAAACCTTTAATGACACTTTTTAAAAGTGCTGCTGATGACTTTACATCTGCTATGACTCATGACACTTCAAGGAGTAAGAACAAGGAGAGTAAGACAACTGAACAGTCAAAAAGGATGCCACATATATAAAGACACAGCCCGTCAAGTAACACATAGATGCTTACCAACTTTTATAAAAGTCTTTGAATATTTGTCTCGAAATCTGAAGACAATTTAACTGTATTCAGGAGTGGAATAGTGTGGGCTGGGAAAAGAATTAAAAATTGCATTTCAGGATTTATCAGATCACAAGAAGGAAGACACACAAAAGATCATTATCCTTTTAAAGGATGATAGGAAGAAATGGGTTTATGCAAGTCTAAATTTTGCTTAAATAAACATTGATGTAACCCCAGAAGATTTTAAAGTTAGTTTCACAAGCTGCATAAAGTCCGTATATCTGGGATCAGGTCGGCTGAAACCTAAGCACAGACTAAGCAACTAATGGTGATGTTTGACAGCTCAGTTGCCATATATAGAGATTATAATTAGGTGTGGTAAATGGAAAGTGACTGATTAAAGAACAAAACCCTACAACCCATTTCAATTCCAGACCTGATAATGAAAAAGGGCAACATCATATTGAGTGATGTTGCATAGCTACTGTAATGCCACATTTCTTGAGATGGTGAATATTTCTAAAATACTCAGTAAATGAAAGAAATATTTTCCAAGTGTCTGACATGAGAGAAAAAAGGTGATGTAGTGTATCACCACAGAAAGTGTAAATCTGAGTACCAGGTATTATCTACTGGTCACTCAGAGAGCAACAGGAAGGGCAGTCAGCATAAAGATGCCTGATACTGATGGCTTAAGCAAAATGGAAAATAGACAGTAGCAAGTTGGTGATATCAACATACATTATTCCAGAGTCCAGAGAGTAGGGTAATAAGTAAAGATATAAAGATGAAAACCTTGTTTTCTGTTTGGAGAAAAAGCTGTCTGGCTAAACTATCTTTATGAGTTTTAAAGAGTTTTAAAGCTCTTGTACTGTATTGACAGCCCTTTAAAGGGTTAACCTTTGCACATCACACTGTCAGAGGGTTGGTTGTTGGTGTCATTTGTGCAGTCCCATTTACCAGTACTTTCCTTCTTCCATTCTCTGGATTTTTATCTTGCTCAGTTGAAGTCTGTCAGTCAGCAAACATGCTAAGACTGAAACTACCTTTTGTACCACACGGTTACTATGTCTTTGAAACACTTGGCAGAGTGCTGGCTTATACTTAAGCAAGGTTTAGAACTTCCACACTATACATCACAAGTACAACTTACCCTTCATTTTACTTATATCAGTTTGAGTAATAAATCACAGCTCCTTTACTGAGACAGAACTCAAGACCATTTTCTCATTTAATAGCTTTCATCCGTATGATGTTCTATATAATGGATATCACAGTACACTAATGAGTTTGCCAGCATTATCAGCAGATGTATCATCATTTACATAGTTTCTTTTTATCCCTGGAATGACTGTATGAATGTATTAGTTTTATAATTTCTCTTCACTTATAAAGGTAAAAAATCATGGTTTGTTAAAAATATTTTGAAACTTTTATCTTATATAACAATGTTCTTAGTGTACAGTTAATATTATGTTTTCTCATTAGGAGTGATATATAGAATACTCACTACTTGTCTAAGGAGAGTGTAACCATACACAAAATTGTTTAATTTTAAAAATAGAATTCAGAACTGATCTACAGAATATGGGACTTCTTCTATTTTATTCACAGATAGCAATGCCCATGTCGGTAATGCATTATTAAAAAGTATAGATTGAATATCTAGTATTTTTTTGATAATTATCTGATGTTTCTGTAAGGGTAGAGCATAAGATTTTTTTAATGAAAATGTAAGAAATACATCAACGTATTTTAAATACAGAGAAACAAAGAAAGAAGATGGAAGACAGATCTTTTGCAGCAGACCTTCAGACAAGTTTGCTTGATTTTTTAAATGAAAAAAAAAAACAAACGAAAAGTTTATGAGGATTTGCAACTTACTTTCATTACTGTAAATCTTTTGTTTAAAATTACTATCAAAACTAACATTAAAGATGCTATACTTTCACTGGCATAACTTGAGTGAAGACTAGAACTAAATGATCTGTGAGCCAAAATTCTTCAATACTCGCTGAAAACATCCTGTAAGAACTGCAAAACAAATGGTTTTAAGCACTGGTGCTCTTGTGAGGTACCTTGATAATGTTTTGAGGTTTTGTGTAAAACTTTGATTTCCTCATTAAACATAAAGACAGGGGGGAAAAATTGTGCCTCTGAAAAAAACAAAACAGGCCACAAACTATATGGTACATAAAATTCTTTGAAAATTATTTCCAAGGTTTCTTATTACTTTTGTTTTATATCAGCCACAGAGACTGATGCACCTTCAGCACAGCAATTCACTCTGGCTTCCATCTCCTACAGACTTTATGCATAGTCAGCTTTATGCACTGTGAATGGCTTCACTGTCTTTTCCTCTATGTAATGTTGTGTGCAAATACGTTTGGGCAATCATGGCTGTAGGATATATTGTTGCATAAGGGGGAATCTACAGCTGTGAGGATTCATACTATCTTTTCTCACTTTCTACAGCTATTAGCTATGAAGTTCCTACCTGGGCAAGTAGGTTTGGTAAACTTTTTCTTACATGAAGACTGTGATATGGGAGACAGGGTCCCTAAGGTGCCTCTGATTCAAAGAGGTACTTAAGTGCTTATATTTAACTTGAGATGGAATTTCAGTGGTTAACACTAGGAGAACAATTTGTTTCTGGACACTCAGTTTTTTCCAGACAATGTAGTCCAGGAAACTGGAATTGATTTGTCATGCATGTCCAAAGTGCACAGGTCACTGTGCAAAAAATAATTCATGAGGTAAGAGTTAACAAGCAATAGAGGGACTCCAACTCTGCAGTCTACTAAGTGTACCCCAACACCTACACTCATTCAGAAGAAGACTTCTCTGAACTACAAAGCTACAAAGTCTCACACCTTTCCCCTCCCTGATAACTTGAATCTGAGATACATGCTT